TCTCAGAGGAGCCTTAGGATTCCCTTGGCCAGGCATCAAGGCAGCCAGGATCCAGGTTAGGAGGCTTGAGATTAGAGGTGCTGTCTGCTTATAGTCCCTTCTGGAACATACTCCTGTCACTTCAGACTTTCCCGTAGCGCTCAGCCTACCTTTTCAGAGAACCCATTCAAGCTCTGAGGACTAGCTGCAATCTGTTTCTGTTGTGCCTGGAGGTAGTTCCTGCTTTCTGGGGTCTTGCTGAGGATGGACAGGTCTGGTAGGAGAACAGGAGTAAAGTGTTCTTCTGCTTGGAACTTCAAGCTGGGGAATTTGTGTGTCCTTATCTCTTGCCCTCATTCACTCATTCAGCATTTGCTCTGGCTCTACCATGTTTCAGGGATGTGTTTAGAGAGAATAAAGCTGGGACTTGGGAGGCAGAGAGACCTAGATCAAATCCTGGCTCTGCACCTTTCTTTCTGGGTAGCCAGAAGGCCTTCTTTGAGTCTCATTTCTCCTTTTGTGGAAAAAACCGGGGCCTATAATACTTAATTGCAGGGTTGATGTGAGGTGTAATAACTATGTGAAGACCCTTATGGTGGTATCTGCTAGATAGTAGACATTGCACTGGTGGTAGCCTATTTTTTAATTGAAGTGTAATTCGCATAACATAAAATTCACCATTTTAAAGAATGTACAGTTCAGTGGTTCTTAGTATATTCACAGTGTTCTGCAACCATCTTCACTGTTTCATCCAGAACTGCCACCTGTTTTCCACAGTGGCTGCCGCATTTTACAGTCCCGCCAGGAATGTAACATGAGCTCCGCTTTCCCCACGTCCTCCCACCGCTTGTCATTTTTCTTTTCTTTTTTTGATTATAGCCATCCTAGTGAGTGTGAAAGTATCTCATTTCACTTTTGATTTGCATTTCCCTAATGATTTTGAATATCTTTTCATATGGTTATTGGTGCAAGCTCCTTTTTTTGTTATTCTTCCATTAAACATTTTTGTCTCATGAGTTCTTCCTGTAGGGCCAAGCCTATAACATGGCCCAGCCCTGAGGTTACTCATAATCCAGTGAGGAAGGTAGATCTCAAAGCAGATAATTTCAACTTGGTAAGAAAATAGGCTGCAGAGAAGGTATGTATTGTAAGTCCTCCCTTAATGTCCTTGATAGGTTCTTGGAACTGCGATGAACCAGTGTATATAACAAAACCCATTTTTACCGTAGCCTAATTGATATAGACTGAGAGTTAGGTTCCTATGGCATCTCATCAACATTATAATGAAACAAAGTTGAATGAAATGACAGTATTCAAGGACCTGCTGTACAGTGTGTAATGGGGCCTTTGAGAAGGAGATGAGTGCAGGCCGAGTGGAGTTTGTCAAGCAGACAAGGAAAGAGGCGTTCCAGTTAGAAGAGCAGGGAGCTTTGGGTGTAGCTGGTAGAGTGGGGCCTCCTGTCATCAGGTGCGGGGAGTGGAGCATTCCTTAGTGTCACCTTTCCCAAACCAGGTGGCTGAGCAGGTCTCTCCCTCAAGAAGCAAGCCTGCAGCAGGCTCTGAGCCAGCAGCCGGCTCTTCTGAGCTTTGTCATTCACCATGTATTTGTCTGCACAGGACTCTCTTTTTTTCAAGGCTCGTTTACTCAGCTGATTTGATCCCCACTTGAGGAAGATGTTATATCTCCACTTCTACAGAAAAAAGGAAATGACACACTCATTGACATAGCAGCTTACCTGACTTCTCACTCCTACTGAGTGGCAGAACTGCACTTGGAATCCAGGTTCCCTGACTCCTAATGTCTTTATGCCTGCAGACTGAACCTCAGCTCTTCTTACTTTGATGTTCAAGCCCATTTATTCTCTAAGCTCCAGCCTCCTCAACTTCCTTCCTCACCTCTCTCTCTCTTGCTTGTTACTGAACTGAATGATCTTTTGTAACCATTCCAGTCAAAATACCTCCCCAAACCTTTGGCTTCCATTCTTTACCTCTCTTGTGTGGTCCAGATTCTCCCTGTCCTTAAATGGCTATTTTATGAGCACTGACTGCCAAGTGCCATTCACTCTGCTCAAGTTATTGACATGCAGAATTGATCATCTTCACAGCATCTTGGCATTGTGAGTAGGAATTATTTACTTCAAGTCACAGATGAGGAAACAGCCTCAGAGAAGTAATGTCACTTACTCATGATCACCCGACAAATGCCACCTCCTATCAAAAGCCTGTCATGGTTGCAATGAGGGAAGTGATCTGCCTTGCCCCTAAAATCCTATAGCAGTTACTTCCCCCTTATTCAAATTCAGTATTTGAGATCTTGGGTTATCTTTTTCATGCATTTTTATCTTATGTCCCCAACTGGATGCTTATTCTCTCATGCCTCCAGGGCCCAGGCTGGTTCCTGCAAGTGTAAATTTCCAGTAAATGTTAAGCTGAGGCATAGGAGGAAAAGCTCTGGACCCTAGTTATGTGGTATTTCTCATACTATTCAGGTTATGACACTGACTCTTGTGACTTTGCACAACACTGAGCTCTCCGTGGGAATCTTGTCCTGCTTGTCCCGCTCCTTCTGTATCCCTGGGCCTGATTGTTGCATGGATGGATGCATGGACTTTACCATTTGGAACCTCATTTTCCTCATCTGCATTTTGAAAGGGTTAAATGAGATGATCTGATGATCATTCTCAGTTTAATATTACCTAGTTTTGGGAGTCTGAATAATTGCTTCTCTACACATCAACATGACCCTGAGCTCTACAGAGTTTCAGCTCAGGGAGGTAGAACATAGCTTGCCATTTCCAATTTGGTGGCCAAAATCTCAAAATTTGCCCTTGAACTTGTTAAACTGAAGATTAGCCCGGGAGCTTTGCCCCAACACATTCAGAAGTCCTAACACCACCCTCTCAGCCCTATATCTCTGTTTCTCTTTCC